CTTGTACATTAAAAAAAAAAAAAAATCCTTCATGATTTGGCTTGTCCTCTTCCTCTTCCTCACTTTTCTCTCTTCCTCTTTTTCCCTTCCCATCTTCTTCCTTACCTTATTGAAAAAGCAAAACAAACTCATTCATCTTTTAAAAATATATTATTTTAATTTTTAATAAAATTTAATGAAATTACATAATTTTAATATAATTTTTTAAAATTATTTTAAAAATTAAATTGATAAACACTTTGCCTCCACAATAATTATTTTATTTTGATTATGCATATGGATTAAAAATATCAATTATTATTGCAATTAATTTATATTTTTTGATTCTACCCTTCATTACTTGAAATAAAATGAATTATTAAAAATGTGTTAAGAAAAAAATTAAAAAATGATTGAAAGATAATTTTTTTAATATAATTTTTTTATAAAACCTTATTTATAATTTAATAATTGATTTTTTTAATTTTATTAAAATTTATAATATTACATATATAATCATTTAATAATATATAAGTAATTATAATTATTTATATAGTATTAACAAAAGTTTTTTAGTTGTTAAAATAGCAATGACGTGACATCTCTCTAATTTCTCACGCTCTGTAATATCCAAATCAGTGGCAAACTTACAGGCGTCCAGCATAATTTAGCCTTTCGCAGCAAACCAACTGCTTTCACTGCACAAACAACCGTTTTTCCAGCTTCCAAAGCTTTCACTGCCTTCATTCTTCTCTCCATTACCCCATATTTTCTAAGGTAAAGTAAGTGATAAGCTTCTTGTTTTTGTGGCTTCACACTTGTAGATTCCAATCCCCATTTTCCTTCTCAACGTACGTTTTTTTTTTTTTTTTTCAGCATTTTATTGTTAGGCATTAACTTATATCGTTTTCTTTTCTGCAGATTGCATCATTTTCGAACAAAATCTCCTCCATTTTTTTGCAACCATCTGCATAAGTTTCACCAGATCCCAGGAAGTAAAATTTACTCTGCATTTTTGCAACACTCTGAAAAACTAGTCAAAAGTCCTGTTTGTTTCCCCAGATTTTCTCCATAATCGTTTTTTCTTTTTAGCTTTTTGGATTTTACTCTCCTTCTTCCAAAGGATTCGATTCTAGATGTTGGCTTTCTGCTTTTATAACTATTGCATCTTGGTTTCTACTTTACATATATGTAATTAATGAAAATTGATCTTGAAGGTACATAGCTGGCTAGAAAGTAAGTACTTTCGGGCGATTCAAAGAGAAACCTTAGCAATATTGTTATTTTTTTTCTTTCGTCGCTCAAAGTCACTTAAGCAAGGTATATTAATTTTTTTTCTTTCAATTAACTTTTGTATACATTTGATTTATGTTGGATTCATTCACTTTGAGGCTGCTAATAACAATTTCTTGTTGGCATTGGCGGAGATAGAGGTGTCTTGGAGGGGCCCAGGCCCCCCCTAAAATATTGAAAACAAAAATTATGCTAAAGTTTAAAGTTAAAAAATTCAATATTTTTTTTTGTCTTTATAGTAAAAAGTTAAATAAAATGTATTTAATAAAAGAAAAATAAAATTTGTAGCGCCTCACTTGCCAGTTTCCACTACATTTTTAAAATTTTAAATCGTTAATTCCACTTAATTACTTGTTTTCCTTCACACATTTGGATTATTCTTCAATTAGCATTAGATTTCCTAACTTCTAAACTTGGCGTACAAAATACAATTAGACTTCAATTTTATTTTATTTTATTTTTATAAGAGAGTCTTTTCAATTGGGTTCTTAAAATTTCTCTCTAAATTGTAATTTTAAGCAATATCCTAATGTGTTTGAAAAATCAAGAAATTTATTATTCTATTTTATTACTTTTTGTAAATTACTATACTATAAGTTGTAATTATTGTTTTGTGGTAGAGAATTATTATTTTAATTTTTGATTTGTTTTTGAGTTGTTGACTTTGCTAGTTTGCTATCATTTGTCAATATTGTATTGTATTGTGGTCATAGTTTTTAATTTTTTTATTATCTAAAAAATTACAAAATATTAATTAAAGTTGATAAAAATACATAAAAATAATTAAAATTAATTTAAGGTTTATAACTTTTTTGAAAAGCACTGATGAATGAAGTTTTAATTCACGTACTTGTTAATTGATTCTAAAGGTTTACTCTACTATTATTAATTTCAGATCATTAAACTTTTAAGTTTATATTTTAGGTTTTTAATTCTACTATATTATTGATTCATGAATGCACTAAGAGTATAATTGCACAAGACTAAATAAGAGTAAGCCAAAAAACCTATAAAATAACATATTAACTATTATATTTGACCAGTGGTGTGTGATAAGAATTGAAAAAGGTAAAAACTTATTTTTTGCCGCGCCCCACTTAACTACAAACTTTGGTTTTGCCACTGCTGGTTAGACATTGATAGAGTCATCCTTTGATGTAAAATATTTATTAAAAAATACTTTTTTAATTTGAAATTAAAGAAAAAAAAATAAAAAAAAATTACAAATTTTAATAACTAAACTTATTGAAGTATGTTATTTCCTGATGAGTATGAAAATTGGAGTCTCACAATGAAAAAATGTAAGTGTAAAAAGCAGTTTAAATTTGTCGGGATCTATCAAACAACTGAATTAACCTTTTGCTTTCAAAACAGTATAAGAAAATTAACAACTATTGTTCCAGTTTCATTTCTACTTTCTCTGCATTCTTCTATTTATTGCCTCATATTTTTTAAGGTAACTCGTAAGCTTCATGTTCGCATGAATTTACGAATGGTTGGATTGCCATTTTTCTTCTCAACTTTAATTTTTTCACTTTCAGCCTCACTGATTTTATGTATTAACTTACCATCTCATATTGTATTTTTTAATTTTTGCAGATTATTGCATCATTTTGGTAAAATCAACTGCATTTTTCTCTCTCAAAAACAGAAGTTTAACACCAGCAGGTATAATTTTTTATTTAATCCCTATATATGTATAAGCTTTATTATTATTTTTTTTTTATACTTTTGTCAATTAACCTCTTTATTACTGTAATTTCAAATCTACTTTACATGTAATGAAAATCTTATATGTAGCTAGAAACTTCCGAGCAATCTGTGGAGAAGCGTTTCACTAGGCGCCGCCCTTTGCCGCTCAAGATTAAAAAAGAAAAAGAAAAAAAATTAGGCATATCCCTTTCTGTTTTCAATCTAAGGTCATTTGGGGAAAGCACTAACCATTTAAGCGAGGTAAATTTTCTTCTTTCAATTAATTAATTTGTATAAATAACTGATTTATGTTGCAATCCTTAAAATCTGCACATAACAATATACGCACACTAATTTCGGAGTCTATACAC